CCCCAGCCCGCCCCCGGCCGTCGGCTATGGCAGCAGCAGCGCTGGGGGGCGCCCGCTGTGCCTGCTCCTGCAGCCCGGGCGTGCCATGGGCCGCCCACAGCCTTTGCATTGGGGCTGGCTGCGTGTCCTAAGGCAGCACGTCACCTGTCTAAACTGCTTCCACTTCTGCTGCGAACCCTGCAGCAGCCCCTCTGCCAGCGGGTCGGGCTGCTCTGCTCCCTCGGGCACGTGCCTTCTTCTTCGAGCCAAGCAGAGTGAAAGAGCGAAAATACATATATATGTATATGTTATATCAAAATTAATCGGGGACCCTTTTTCTGCCTCCATCTCCAGCCTTTGCAGGTGCCTGAGCCGGCGGGGGCCGGGCAGCATGATGGGGCCGGGGCGTGGGACCGGGGGCTGCTGCCCGCTCCCAGCCCTGCTTCCCGCGAGCGACGGCGGGGCGGCAGCGCGGGCGATGGAAACGCTGTACTCACCATATGGAGCCTCCATCTTAGCGCTTAGCTGGGTGCTTACATTGACCATGTCTCGCCGGCTACTGCTATGGGGACTTGGGGTGAAAACCAGAGAAAGTAGAGGAATAAAAAGAAATCTAAATAAATAAATAAAAATGTCTTTCACTAAGGAACTAGGTGAAGGCAGGAGGGAGCACGGAGAGGCAGGGCGAGGAAACCTGCCTCTCCTGTTATCTTATTGATTCGCTTAATCAGGGCTAATGTGGGTGGAGATGTTAAATAGTAACCAAGCTCTTATGGAAACCAATCTGCAAGGTGCCGTTGCTGTAGCTATAGTAACTGCTGCCAAGCTAGAAACTCAAACACGGCTTTTACTGGACTCTTTTGGAGCTCCCATTTCCACCCGGTCTCAAGGCCAGGGCAGCCGCCGGGCTGGGGTTCCCCCCCGGCCACAGGGGGAAACGGGGTGGCGGATCTGGCTCCGTAGCGCCCCAGGTGCCGCCGGATTTTGTGCCGTCACCCACCTGTGGTGGGAAAACCAGGGCTGAGCCCGCCTGCGGGCAAGGAGCTAACCCTGCTAAGGGGCCACAGGATGAGCCGTGGGGGATGGCACGTGCTGGCACGGGCAGAGCAGAGCCTCGCTGAGGCACAAGGGGCGAAACGCCCCGGCTGTGGGTCGGGACTTGTTCCCTCGGTGCAAAACCGGAGGGGTCGCTTGGGGATGGGGTGGCATGGGGATGCTGCGGTGGGATGCAGGGTGGTACCCTGAGCACGGGGCTGGGGTGCAGGGTGTTTGCAGCTCCTCCCTGTTTCCCTCTGCTCCCCAAATCGGGGGGACCCACAAGGTGCTGCAGCCACTCACAGACACCTGTGCTCCCTCCGGGACCGCAGCACCCAGGAGGAGCCCTGGGGACCTCATGGTCCAGGGCGTGCAGATGTGGTCCCTGACCTTGGGGTAGAGCCCTGTGCCGCTGGTGGCTCTGTGGCAGGAGCAGCCCCGGCTCCCGGGGGGCTGCGCAGGGGCAAGCAGGGCCACGTTCAAGAGGTGTTGCTGAGATGACATCAAATATATAGGGGATCCAGAGCTGGAGCTGAAAAAGTGATCGGCCAGCAGCGCAGGGCCTCCCATATGTCTTGGGAAGGGGCCGGGCTGGAGGAGGCACCAAGGGGTTCCTGCCAGTCCCGGGACCCCCCAGCACCTGGGCTATCGAAACCCTGCAGCCCCGAGAGGACAAAATTAGGGACATCTGCTCCTCTGGATGGGAAAGCACATCCCAAGAGAGCGTGCAGCAGGGCGGGTGCGAGCGGGCAGGGGGCTGCTGGGATGCAGGGGGCTGCGGCGCAGGAATCGCAGCTGGGGGCTCAGACCCAAGGCCTGGGAATTTGGGTACCCCTGAGTTTGCCGAGTGCTGAGAGGTCCTAGAGAGGGAGGGGATGTGGATAACGAGGAGCTCAGCGGCACTGGGGGTGAGGCAGGGCAGTGGAGCGGCGTGGGGCTGCCTGGGTGGGACAGGGAGCTCGTGGCCCTCCGGCGTCATCGTCACCCGGTGTCCCAGCAGTGCTGGTTTCTCCCACACGATGGAGCAAAGCGCCCGGGCATCTCCTGTGGCCGTGGCCCGTGGCCCTGCCGAGGGCTTCTGCACCCCTTCGCTGTTTACCCCAAAAACCAGAGCAAAGGCACCGGGTCGGTGTTACCCCGAGGCTCCAGGCTGCAAGTGAGGGAGGACCAACACGAGCATGGGGGTCTCCAGGCTGCTTTATTGGGGGACTCGGAGCCAGGAGCCCTGTGGCCGGAGGGGCTGCTGCGGAGCGGGGACACGCTCAGAGCTCCCCACTTTTCCTCCAGCCACTCGCCACAAGGGGAATGTCTTGGTATTCGCTTACACCGGCCCCTGCCTTAGCACAGGCGGGGAGCAGTGGGGAAAGCCACCCGAGCCCGCGGAGCAGGGACCATGCCAGCCAGCCCCGCTCCTTCCGTGCATCCCTGAACTGTCCCTATTTCGGGTAACAGGGGTCTGAACCATCCCTATTTCCCCAAAAGTGGAAAGCAGCCAGACAATGCGAGCGCTGCTGGAGAGGTGTGTTAAAAAAGCAGTTTCCTACACAGCTCTAGGGATGAAGCAGGTTGGACAGCCGGGCTGCTGCGGGGGGGTGGTCAGTTTTATAAATAATTCCGGTTCACCCCGTCCCCACTCCTGGGGCGCTTCCTCGCAGGGCTGCAGCCCTAGAACCAGCTGACTTGGTTGGATTTGAGTCCGGTGAAGCACATGTTGTTGAAGCAGCCCCTGCCGTAGGTGGGGGACGGCCGCCCCACCTTGTACGGTGCTTCTCCCAGCCAGTTGCCCCTAAAAAGAGAAGAGGCCATCACCTCTGAGCACCATTGCCTCGCCGCTGAGACCGGAGCAGCTGGCGAGGAGGAAGGATGGCGCGGGAGGGGGCTTCCCTCCCCTCACTTACTTGATGGCGTAGTTGCAGACAAGGAGGACGGCGTGCCGCCACGTGCTGCCCCACACCCGCACGTTGGCACAGGCGCTGAGGGCGCAGCCCAGGCGGCTGGAGGATGCCCACACCATCTGTGCCGGGACAGAGAACAGGCGCTGTTGGCGACCGCCCGTCCAGGCGTCCCACAGCCGGTCACCCCGGGACCCCAGCACAGGGCTCCGTCCCACCAGGGAATCACATCCCACCTGCCCGAATTTCTCAGGCTGGATGCTGTGCCCATCACGGGCAGTACTTTGTCACCAGAGGGTGATATTTTTGCTGTCCCTCTTCTGCCTGCAGCCCGTGCTGGCCTGCGAGGGGCTGCCGTGCCAGGCTCGCTTAAATGAACAGCAGAGTCTGGGTCATTCTCTGGTTTACCCAAATTAGTTCCCAAACCTCACCCTGAATCATCGCCAGCAGCTTACCGTGCACACAGGGAGGTGAAACAGAGCCAGAAGCTCCTCCTAAAGCCTCTCCAGGCTGAATTTCTTCCTTAAAATGTATCTTGCCCATTTGCAACCTGGAGCATCCCTGAGCATCCCCACAGATGAGCCACACGGGGATGCAGATGCTCAGGTAAAGACTGGAGGTGTGCAGAGGAGGTAATTAGGGGTTGGCACAGCTTTTGCAACCCGGCAGGGAAGCAGAGGGAGGTTTTCCACCTTGTCCTGGCCAGGCTGCCAGTGGATGTGCCAGTGGACAAAGGGGCTGCATTCCCGGGGAGCCGGACACGGCTGGGCGCTATAAAGCTGCTCCATCACAGAGGAGAGGATTCACGCTCGGCAAAAGCACGAAGGGGTTTTTTTTTTTTCCTCTTCGCCACCTTTGAGGTGCCACTGGGTTAATAAGGAGAAAAAGGCCAAAGCAGGGAAAAAAGCTTAAAAGAAATAAAAACCTCCCAGCCAACTGGCCAGAAGGTCCCAGCTGCGCTCCAGCGGGCTGCGAGTCCCCAGGATCTCCATGCAAGCAGCCAGATTCCCACGGGGGCCCAGGGTGGGAGGGCATCGCCACCGGCTGCCTGCACCCCGCCAGCAGGCACGCTGCCTGCTGCCAGCCTGATTCGACACAGACAGCTGCCAGGGTTTGATCTTGGATCCCAGCTGCTGCTGGGAGAAGGGCTGCTCACTGCACGGGTGCTGCAGCAGCCCAAGGCGCTGTGAGCTGCCCCCTGGTTTGCAGCCAGGTCCCGGGGGGCTGCGGGGGGCTGCGGGGGGCTGTGGGGGGCTGTGGCGCTCACCTGCGTGTAGTGGCTGCAGACAGAGCCGGTGCCCTTGGGGGGGGCGGGGGGGAAAAAAAAATCTCCTGGTGCCACGATTTCACCATGTCCACAATGGAGCGGTACCTACAAAAGGTGCCGTGTATAAGGTGTACCTCCTCCACCTCACAGGTCGTGGACGAGGGAGAGGAGGGGGAGGAAGGCTCCATGTAGAGGGAATAGGGGAGAGAAGCGGGGTGGAGCAGGGGCAATGACATCCTCGTGCCGAGTCCACTTGTGCCCAAGGCCAGAAGACCTGGCCCTCACTGGAGGCATCTGAGTGCTCAGCCGCATGGTGGAGATCCAGGAGCCACGTTTCTCTGGTCCGTGTGCCAGGCAGAGAGGTGATTAATGCCATGCACTAATGAGCCGCAGGCACCTCTGGTTTCCTACATTTACCCTGCTGCAAGAGTTGGACCCTCCTCCTCCTCCCCGGGGGGCCTCGATGTGCCTCTTGATTGCATCTCAGTCCTCTGCAACCCCAGCTCAGAACTTCTCTGCTCCTCGTCCGAGGGGCTGCCACTGCTCCTCCTCCTCCTCCAGCATCATGGGGTGCGGGGGGGTTCCCAAGGAGCCCTGTCTGCCCACGGGGCACTCACCTGCCTGAGTGGATGGAGAGGTTCTGCCCCACGTATTTCATCAGCTGGGGGGGCCCGTGGTCCCACAGGCAGCGTGCAGCCCACGCCTCCGCTGCCCTGGCCAGCCGCTCATCCCAAACCTGGCCAGGAGGAAAGGAAAAGGGCAGGCAGGGATTTTGGCTGCCCAGAGGAGAGAAGAGGAGAAACCCACTCCCCTGGGCTCAGGGGCATTTCTGAGCACCTCCAGGTGTCCAAAAAATGTGACTCACACATCAGGCTGGGAAAAGGCTGCGGGAAGCAGGGCAGTGTGTCCAGGAGCGATGAACCGCCCCAGCTGCCCACCGCGGCTCCTGGGCACATAGAGTACCTGCTGCCCAGGCAGAGCACGGATGCCCTGAAGCAGTGCAAGCCCTGTGTTTGTGATTCCCTCTGGGAATGAGCTCCTTCTGCAGAAGGTGGAGCTGAATCCAGGGGGTCAAACCCCACAGCCCTGCGCTGCTGCTGCAGCTCGCAGCTGTCCCCAGCTCTCCACCGCAGCCCTGGCCACAGACTAACCGGTGAGGACAGCTGGTTCCTTCATGCATCATTTAAAGGTTCCTCACCCATCCTGAACTGCCCTGGGGGGATGCCTGGGAGAGTTATTTTGGAAGGCAGGAATTTAGGCCAAGCAAGAAGTGGCGCAGGATGCTCCCGGGCATGTCTGACCTGCTCTGGTACCCAGCAAGCCGGGCTGCCACCTGGCTTTCCCAAACCGGCATCCAGGGACCACCCAGCCACTCCGTCGGAGCTCTGGTTCCCTCCCTGGGAGCAGAGCAGCATGTGGCACCTCCTGCCCCAAGGGTCCCACTCTGTGCCAGCTGGAAATCCCTCCTCTTGATGGCTCCCCATTTCTCCTCCTTTTAAGGCTGGGTTAGGAGCTCCAAGCGGGGTCGAGACAACCTGGGTAAAGCTCTGCCCAGGGTGGCTCTCGTCCAGAGCAGCTGCACAACCCAGCGAGGCTGTGCAGCCCTTCTCTGTCTCACTCCTCCGTGTTTCTTCTCCCAGGGGCTGGCATCCCTGGGCACGCTCCCAGGGGACCCTGGAGCTTGAGAAGGGGCTGTCCCTTCCAGCTGCAGTTAGGGGAAAGGCTCCCACCTGGACTTTGGGTTGGGACCTGAGCTTTTCATGCCTGTAGCCGTCTCCCTTCCCCTAATGCTACCTCTGCAGCTCAGCTGGACAGATCCTGCCATTCCGCAGCCTGCAAGCTCCCAGACATCTCAGGCACAGGACCAGGGGTCCTAAATCTGCCCCCGGGTGGAACCATCCCCCCACTGGGACTCCATCCCTCCTGTGCAGAGGCTGCATGGGGCGTGCATGGGTCTGCCCTGCACCAGGGACGCGAAATGTCCCCCGGGACAGATGTTCAGCCACAAATCCGGGGCAGCACCCTGACTGTGTGGGTGCCCCGTCCCTACCAGGTTGGGTGCCCACGTCACAGGTGAGCCCCTCAACCCCACCACAGCAGCCAAGAGCTGCGGACCCGAAAACATCTTGCTGGAGCCCGACTCACCATATACTCCATGTTGGCGGCGGCGGGGGACACCTGTGCCCGCACTTGGTTGTGGTATTCCAAAATCACGCTCACGTCGCGGGGGGAGAGGTATCGCTTCCGACGGCTCCGGGGGACCCCCACGCCCCACAGCAGGCCCGCGGCTCTGCCCCCGGGGGGGGACAGAAGCTCGGTGGCATTGGGCAGCAGGAAGGAGCTGGACTGCTGCGTCATCCAGAAGCCCAAGGCAGTGAGGTACAGGTGCAAGTGGAGCACAGTCATGCTAGCCCGGCCGGCGGGATCGGCCGGCGGCTTTCCACTCCCACACGGAGTTAAGCAAGGTCAAGGCGGATCGCGGTCCCCGCTGCCGGCGCGTGGATCTAGGAGAGAAAACAACACAGGCACCGCTCAGGTTTGCAGTTCACGTGCAAACACCACTTCCCAAAATAAGATGGAAATAATTTTTCCTTTTTTTCCTTTTCAAAATAAAATTTTAAAATTAATCTCGTTGATAACCTCATTTATCACAGCAAATTCCCCAAGACCAGCAGGGACATGGCTGGGGAATTGGTTTTCTTCTTGTTTCTTTTTAAAAAAACCCCAAAACTGGTACAAAATCTCCCCCATCTTTTCACTTATCGCACATACCTGCCAGGCAGGGGCTAATTAGGAGCATGCTGAGATATTCGCTGCAGCCGCCTGCCCTGTAACTTCCCAGGCGTTTGGTGTGTTGAGTAAATCCCCAGCACAAATGGAAATCTCATACAGGTAAAGAAACGCACAGCAAGTTTTAAAAGCATCGGCAAGAAATCCTAATGACTCTTTATATCAGGGAAAGAAAAATAAACCACCACAAAACCAGAATCATTAAAAAAAGAGAAAAATGCCGGAATATCTCCTCGTCTGTCAGCCGACGCACCTCCTAACATCCCTGCCAGCCCTTCCCTGGAGCAGCGGGGAGGATGTTCCCCCGACTACGTACCTTGAGGACTGAGCCAAGAGCAGCTAAGCCCGGCGGCGGCAGCCGGCGGGGTTGGCGTTGGAAAAAAACGTGCCCGGTGGGATTGACCTTTGCAAACAACCTGCTGGGGCAGATGCAGGGGAGAGGTCTAGCCTAGCCCCGCCGGGCAGCCCGCCGCAGCGTCTGACGCAAAAGCTGCATCTTAACTCTTCCCCCGGGGAATGTCCTGAAGTTTGGACAGAGTCCTGCTAGGAGATTTATAGGCTGGTGCTGCCCCGCGCACGGCGGCGCACGCAGGCACGCAGAGCCGTGCACGGTGCCGGCGGGGGGAAGCGAGCAGAGCCTGGCTCGCTCCTCCAGCGGGCAGAGGGGCTGCTCGTCGGCTGCTGGCTGGGGTTTCTATTACGAGCTACCTATGGGGAGAGATTCCCAGAATCGTCTCTCCACAGTTCACCTCCCCCTCAGCTGGGTTCTCTCTGGCAGCTGTGGATAGGGAAGCGCATCCAGTTAGGCGAGGGATGTGGAGGGGGTTTTGCCCCGGCAAGGTGGTGGCGGGGCTGGTGCTCGCCGGGAGCCCCGGGGTCACCCCGCTTTGGTGCGAGCTGAGCAGATGGCAGAGATGTCCCTTGCCAGGGGTGGCTGGGAGGGGACCTGGTGACCACGCATGTCCCTGGGCCAGCAGCTCTCCCCATTAGAAATTAAGGCGCTTGCCGGGTGGGCTCCCCAAGGACTAGGGATTGCCACAGCCTGCGGGGGCTCTGCCCGAGTCCCCACCACTGACCTGGGCTGGTGATGCCTGGCCAGGGGCATCTCAGGGGAAAAGAGCCCTTCGTCTGCGGGCTGTGCTCCCCCCAGGTGTCTGTCCCCAGGGAGGGGAAACGACTGCAGCCTGAAAGCTGTAGACAATCCTGCAGCATCAAGTGTGTTTCCCTATAACATCCCAGCGATCATGATGCCTGGGACTGGCTGAATTATTGCAGATCACAAAAATGCAAGCCTGGCAGGCTGGAGGGGTTGCTTGCAATGCCCATCACATCTCTTCCTCCCGCCGCGCTCAGAGCCAGAGCAAGCAGCTGTATGTGAGCCACAGCAGGGCTTGCTGCCATCATCACCCCATGTCATGGTGCCCCAGGTAAGCAAGGTGCTCCCCCTGCACCTCGTCAGGCCTGGGTTCACCAGGGCGCAGGCGGGTTTGGAGCCAGGATTTGGCTCTTCGGTTGTATGAAAGGGAGCACCGAGGCCAAACTCCTCCTGATCTGGCAGAAGGCATGGAGATGGAGGCATGGAGCTGGAGGCACGGAGCTGAGACCAGAGTGTGCCCGGGGGAAAGCTGGTGCTCAGGCAGGGAGACAAGGAGGCTACTGGGGAGGAGGGGAGGAGAAGGCAGGCCCACAGCAGCAGCCCCTTGCTGCTTCTCGCCTTCACTGGGATAAGAATTGAGGATCCTGGCCATGCAGTTCCTGCCCCATGCCAGGACTGGCGGCACATCCCAGAGCCTGGCCGACTTCACCCACAGCCCCCAAGACCCACAGTGCAACAGAAGCTGACCAGGAGCTCAGGGAGGAGCAGCCCCAAGCATGGAGCAGGAATAATGCCCAGGTGCTGAGCTGCTGTACTATATCAATACAACCTCACCCTGCCAAGTGCCTCTGCCGAAATAGTCCCCTGTGTATATTTTTCCTGGCATCCACTCTCCTGTAAAGCAATTCAAGATGCTGCGGGCCCTGGGGAGCAGCTGGAGACATGTGCCAAAGGGATATTTCCATCCATTCCCCACCCAGCAAGTGGGATGATGATTGTGCCAGCAAGGAGACAGGGAAACCTCTGCCAAGGCATCTCCGGACCCACTGCGGCACTGCAGGAGGGGACACCTTGGTGCAGAGAGCAGCAGCACCCCGTGGGCTGGCAGGGCTGGGCACACTGCTGGGGGCCATGCTGTGCCACAGATGCTGGCACTGGGCACGCCGGGGTGTCAGGGTGGCTCCCACAGCCCACCGGCTTTCCAGGCTGCCTGTTGTAGGGCGTCTAACCAGCTCAGCTTCACCTTCTCAGCACCAGACCACCCCAAAACACCAGCCACCTCTCCACAGGTGCCGGTCAAAGCACCATCCCCAGTTTGCTGACACCCCTATTTTATGTTCACCTGTATGTGGAGGCGAGTGCCAGCTCCAGGGGCGGACAGCAGGACAGTCCTTCGTACTGCACCGAGACGGCACATGCCGGGGCTGCCTCCCTCCGCTCAACCCCAACTGTCAAACCTCTCATTAGTAAGGCTGGTGAAGGCAGTTTCATCCCCAGCAGACTAGAAAGGCAGACGGGGACACGCAGCTGCGATCTCAGCTGGGCAGACTGGGGACGTGGTCTGGGCAGACTGGGAGGAGCCGCTGCCGCCAAGTGCACACCGAGGTAGGGAGGGCACCGGGGCTCTGTTATGGGGAGGGGTTTTTTTAATGATTTGTTATTTCACAAAAGACAGAGCCCTGAGCAGTGAATGCTCATCCAGCACCATGAACTGCAAAGATTTGCATTTAAGAATTTTTTTTGAATTTTTGTTTCCCTGGGGCTCGGGGGAGAGCAAACCCATTGCAGCTCCCACTGCCACGCAGCAGCCGAGCTGCACTCAGAGCCGAGCTGCACCGAGCCTCTGCGTGGACACAGGGCAAGGGTTTTGTTTTGGGTGCAGATTGAAAGCGCTGCTTAATCAGCACTCCACAAGACAATCCAAATTCCAGGAACTGGAAGGGGTTTGTGTCCCTGCCAGGCGTAATATCCTGCAGCCCAGACTGGCCCGGCTGCCAAAGCACACGGTATCTGCAGCGAGGACCTTGCTGGGAGCCAAGAAGCACATGCATTCAGCTGGATACAGCAGCAGTGCCAGCAAATTCTCATTTTAATGAGCACTGGGGGGAAAAAAAGAGATAAATCACTGGGTTCACAGCACTCTCTTGGCAGAGATGCCCACTGATACTTTTAAGACTAACACTCATAGTAGCTCACTCCAGAATAAGCCACAACGGGACTTGCAGGATTCCTCTGTCATGTTTGTTTCTCCCGTCTGTTGGCTTCGGGCATCACCCATCAGCCATGTATCAAGGTGGCAGGTGGTGCCATGAGCCCACATAGGACTGAACAGGGCTTTGCCTGTTGCTGAGGGACAGGAACTGCTGCGATGCCTGAGCACCCCCAGGCATGGAGGAGGTTGAGGTGGCTTTCCACAGCAGGAGCCTCCTCTTAACTGGGGTAAAACAAAACCAAACCAAAGCCCTGCTTGAACAAAACTGTTCTCCCAGGTAACGCACAAACTCTGTTGCTCTAGTAAAATATCCCTCTCTTATGAACTGACAGAAAGGCTCATTTTCCAGCTTTGCTGAAAGCTGTTCATTTCTCCCAGTCCAGCCCCAAACACCACCAACGGCTCCAGCCACCCTGGTGCCCACCCTGGCAGGGAAGGAAGTGGGGCTTTTGATGGCTTTTTGCATTTCTAGAGCCCTGTAGAAGTCCAACACATCCAGAGCTTGGTGCCTCCTCATGCATCATGAAAGGAGATCTTCCTTCTGACTTAGAGGTCAGAAAATTTGATCTGCATGTTGCGACATGAGAAAACCCAGGCTGAGCTCCTGCACGTTTATTTGTGATCTCCCTGGAGTGAAACACCCCGTTGAGCTGTAACCCAACCGAGATCAGTCCTGAAGTCTGAGGACTTCAGAGTCATCCTTCTCGCTAATTAGGACCATCTCCTTGTAAATGTTGAATCCCTTTCTGAACCAAGCTGAGCCTTGGAGGAAGGGGTGCAGAAAAGTAAAATCTCACCCTGAAGAGGTGACCTCCCAGGCTGCAGAAATGGGGGGATGAATTCCCGGCTGCCAGCTGAACTGCACCCTTCTTGGCCAGAACATGGGGATACCACGCTGGGATGGGCTTTTCCAAAGAATTCAGCCTTTCTTCATCAAAATTAAAGAAGTTTGGTAGGTATTGAACCCCTTCTCCCTGGTATCTCAGACATCGCAGGAACAGGGCAAGTTTCTCAAAGGAAATGTCACAATTTTCATGAGAAGTAGTTAAAATTGTGAATTTTGATCATCTGAACTTTTCCAGTCGTTCACTGCTAAAACCTGGTTTGGAGCAGAAAGCCAAGGTGCAATGGTGCACATTCACCTCACTTTCCCTCGCTGCGCGAAACCAGCTCATCTCCACACCCAAGAACCTGCTTTCCCCATGCCAGTGCAGTACAGTCACACCAGGAAGGAGGCAAAAATGAGCATGGGCTCCTAAGACCACCAGAAAATGAGAGGGTCTTGCTAATTTGGCTTTCAGGTCTACC